AGTTTAACCTTTAGTTACAAATGTCAAATATGAACTTTTATTAAAATTATAAACTTGAAAAACACATGAAGAAGAAACAAAATAACTGATGACACTGGAAATGCAAAGAAAAGAAACAAGATGCAACAACTACGTACATGATGCTTGGCAAGTTCAATCTCGATGGCCTTCGGGTCCCCTCCGATAGGTTTCTGTTCACTTAGTAGGCCCTCCGTGTGTGTCAGCCATGCCAATAGCTCATCCAGAGCATGTTGGAACTGCCCCAGTGCTAACAGAGCACCCTCCAGCTTATGCTACAGAAAAAGGAGAGAGTAAAGAAATCCACTTATGAATTTGATATTATGAATAACATACATTTAAAAAACAAGGGCAAAAAAATCAATTGTTTCCTGCTGCGTAAGTCTGTACACATATCCAGTGAAGCCCAATCACCATAAACTTCTACATTCTAAGTCTGAAACTCTTTATGGTTAAAAAGTGGCACATAAGAAGCAGAAAGAGTTCTAATGAAATAAGACAACTTAGGGGCTTCAAAAGTTTATGTATATAATCACCTAATTTTACTTAGTAATAATTATTTTACATTAATGCGTAAAATTGAAAGTTAATAAATTCTTAACAAGTCTTGGCATTTACCTGTCTGTTGATAATTCTTTCATCCAGACTATCCCATATCAATTTCAGTTCCATCAACGGGTCTTGAACAGTGTGTTTGTCACTTTCTTCTGTTACTTTCTTCAGCAAAAGCTCTGCTTGATGGTTCAGTCTTTCCATTTCTATCTGTTGATGGTAAGCCTCTGACTTAAATTGCTATTTTTTAAAAGAGACATGCAAGGAAAATTTGTTACAAATCAGTAACTTTAAACAAACAAACAAAAAATTCTATGGGTTAGAACTTATTCTAATTCAGAGCTCTTTTTAGGGAGGGGTGAAGAGGAATAAAAATGTAATACATGGTTTACTGATGAAAAAATTAGAGAGAGAAAAATATAAGNAGTTAGTTAAACAAATTGAGAAAATAAAATTGGTTAAACAGAGAAGGTATAACATTGAACATATCAGACCTCCCACTCAAAAGGGGGCATATGGTATGTAACCCTATAACAATGCAATTTGTCATTTCTAAAGCCTTTAAAAACTTATGCTGAGCCTAGCTCCCCAAAACAATGGAGTCAAACACCAATGATGAAGAAATCCAACTGAATAGGGCAAAAAGGGTTATTAGAAAATTCAGCCTCAATAGTACACTTTCTAGTTACTAGTAAAAATCAACGATATAAGCCAAGCAAGGTGGGTGCATCTATCTCTTCCCTGGATTAGAGAGGCATAATTTTACTTCTTCTCTGTGTTTAGTCTAGAACAGAATATTAATAACAGGTGAAGGAAGATTTAAGCAAAAGCTGCTCCAAGAGATTCAAACAATTTAAAAGTCGGATGGAGCTGTATCAAAATATTAGAAAAGAAACGAAGGCTTGCCAACAAGTGTACAGATTCAGAGGTGAGGAGTACCAGCCAGCTCAGACACAGGATACGCCCGTTCAGAGAGCTGTCTAGGGGACTACATGTCTGGCTCTCACAGTGTGTGAGGAAAGTTTGGCTGCGAAACTAAACAAAAAGTAGCAATATAACAATGTGTCTCGCTCTGAGTATCAGAGTGGAGGTTAAAAAGACAAAGCAAAAACAAACAAACCCAATAACAAAAATTTTGCGTCTCTTTTTGGGCTATAATGAGAATAGTCTATCTATAAAGTCAAGCTATCATCAGTCTTTTCCAAATGAGTCCCCAGGGCCTGAAGTTGCTGCCAGGTCAAAAAGTGATGTCATGATGCACACTTAGGCCACAGCCCCTTTAGGAAACGAACAGCTTGGCTTTGTGCCGTGACTGTTACACCTAATACAGCCGGCAATAGAAGTACTTTAACAACATAAGATATATTCCAACAGCTAGAACTGATGTATTGCCCAGTTCAAAGAATTTTTATATCAAGTTTTACCTGCTTGGCCCTCTTCCTTGCTTCATCCAAAGATCTTCCTCTTTCTACTAACCGTTGAACCACTTTTTCCCATCGACTTTGTACACTGATAAGTAGATTCTTAATGAGGACAACATCTTGTTTCTGACTAAAATATTTCAGGTGTGTTCCAGTTTTATCCAGCTCTATTATCTGCTCACGGTGAGAATTCACTTCATTGGCAAAGACCTTTCCCCAAAACAAAACAAATGGGGGGAGGGTATAATTAGAAACAAATGAAAAACTGACCTATCTTGAAAACGCTTCTGGTATCATAGGCTGAAACTGTTTCAAAGGACAAAAGAAAATTGTCCAATTACCAAATTCATGCTTTTGACATTAAAACAGTCTGCTGTCTAAAAAGGCCTGACATCAGAATGCTATCCATTTGAGTAATGGCATACCTTATGTTCATCGATTTGAAACAAGACGGTGTCCAAGATAAGACTTGGCCGAGAGGCTACATTTAGGGTCTGTTCAGCCTGGGTAAGCCAGTTGATGAAGTCTTGGAGAGAATTGTGGAACTCCATTGCCAAGTTGAGGGTCTCTTCCAGTTTAGTCTGCGAGGACAGATTATTTAGCATTTGATGATATTCAAGCCCCCCCCCCCCCCGTTTAACCATTCTCTGGCAGATTTCTTTCCCATCTATACTTTATTTATGTATACTCCACATTATCTAAACAGTTTATGAATGTAATGGGCCTTCACTAAAATACTGGCAAACCAAATCCCTTCAAGTGTAGTAAGAAGCATCTCACTGCAGCTAAAAACATTTTAATATACACAAAAATTGTGGTTTGGGGACAGTTAACCATAGAACGCAATTACTAAACAGAATCTGTAAAAAGAAAGCTTGACATTCACACAATTAATTTGGGGGATCGAAATACTATGAAATATATTTATGCCCTGTCAGTGAGATGCTCCTCATAGATTTTTGTTATGTAAGTGCCTATTATATATACACAATTATCTCATTCTCTTGAGCTTTTGCTCTCCCTCCCCTTGCATACAGCCTTTTGCTTAATAAAGTATAATTGGAACAGAATTATTTAACCATCCAGAATTTGAGTGGTTCACAAATTTAAAAATATACTTAGTAACACAGATCTATGATATACCTTTATCTATGTTTTAAATAGATTCCTTTAACTCTGCTCTTCTGTGTAAAGACAGAATACTAGTTTCAACTGACACCACAAAACTTCCTAATGTACACAAAGAAAATTTCAACATGGATCACCACAAATTCCACTGATCATGCTACTCAGAGATAAGGTAAAACCCATGAAATAAAACAACTAGAACACTCGTTCTATTACATTAATCAAGGCACATACTTTCCTTTCATTGAGTTTGGTTTCCACGGATTCCCATNAGGAATGCTAATACAGTAATTCGTAATCCTGGCAGCACATTAGAATCACCCCAGATACTGAAATTCTATGCAAATGTATAATTGTCCAAAATAACCTCAGTTACAATTACCTAATAAGTTCTTATTGCCTTTAAAAGTGAGACACTTCAAGCATCTTATTATGACTACAATGTTTATTTTGTCTTGCAATAGGAGGTAACTACATCTGGGAATTTTTTAGCAATAAACACCATTACAGTATCACACTATTTCTGTAGTTTGTTTTCTGTAAATATTATTCTTTCATGCTATTCTAAGCAGAATGTTAGTTTTAGAATCATGGTATTGACAGACTTTCTTCACATAGCAGACACATACATAATAAATGTTATAGGTGAACACAAGATAGGTGAAAACTTTTTCAAGACAAAAAAATACCCAAATAATGAATAGAAAACATTTCTTCTAAAATTGGCTGAATGTACCTTGTATCTTTATCTCAGAGAAATGGTGACTTTGACAATAGGTCACACTAGGGAAAATAGAGATGCTAACAAGGTTCTTTGCATATTTTTCTTTCTAGGATTCTCTAACTTAAATGTGCAATGCACTTTCATATGACTACATGAGACAACATCTATGTTCAAGTTCAAATAAGGCATTTTATACTGAGAAGGAGGCTCTCGTTTGTCCATGAGAGAGGAAAGAAAAGGTGCTGCCCAATTGTGCTGCCAGTATTAGATGAGGCAGCTCACAGGCACAGGGGCCAGCAGAACAAGCCATTTGCAAGCCCTCATGTAGCCAAACAACAGCTGTTCAACGTTGCCTTCCACCATCCCAGGATCTTGACCCTGAGGTTAGTTAGAATTACCAGTGGAAACAACCGACCTGTGTGAAGACAACGGCTAGAATTTTCTGATGATGACCTTACACTGTCCAGCATTTAAAAAATTATCATGTATCAAGCAATAATTTACACGTAGACACCTAACAGTGTAAAACCGTTTTCAGGAACCACTCTCCTTTTACCCACATCATCACCCTGAGGGCTGGTGAGCACTTTACAAAACAGAATGATATAAAGACCCAAATTCAAAAGATTTGAGGAGGATGGGGGAAACGCTCTTTGAATGCATGTAGTCGGAATAGAAAAGGCATAAAATATAAAACACAATGTTTCTACATCTTCTAGGCTACACAAGAAAGTCACTGGCGATGCATCTTTGAGAGTAAGGATGGAATATCATATACCCACACATATACAATAAAATGTCAATGTAGGTAGGAGAACCAATTTTCCCCACTGTACTGTTTAAAAGAATCTATACGGCGACGTCTATATTACTTTTTGCCCTAGAATTGTCTTCTACATGGTCTAGGAAAGAAATTACAAGATAAGATAGTTGTGAAAAATTGAAATACTAATGTTTGAACCCCTACAAAATCCTTTATATGCTTTGGATTGTAAAACTTCCAGTTTTAATTTTGTAGGTTTTACTAATTAACTCTGGATCATAATGGAAGGGTCGCTGGAAAGTAAAGATACTGCCAC